AGAGCACCATCTGCAGGTTCGAGTCGCTCACGCTGTCGCACAACAACATGATCGCGCTCAAGCCCATCCTGCAGGCGTGGCTGGAGGAGGCCGAGGGCGCGCAGCGCGAGAAAATGAACAAGCCCGAGCTCTTCAACGGCGGCGAGAAGAAGCGCAAGCGGACTTCCATCGCCGCGCCCGAGAAGCGCTCCCTCGAGGCCTACTTTGCCGTGCAGCCCCGGCCCTCGTCCGAGAAGATCGCCGCCATCGCCGAGAAACTGGACCTCAAAAAGAACGTGGTGCGGGTGTGGTTTTGCAACCAGAGACAGAAGCAGAAGCGGATGAAATTCTCCGCCACTTACTGAGTGGGGTGGGTGGGAGGCGCCGGACGGGGCCAAAAGCCGGAGCCGTGTGAAGAGGGGGGCGTTTCTGGGGGCTTTTCCCTCCCCTGCTTCCCCCCCCCCCCCCCCCCAATGATGGATCTGGAGTGTCCGTTAGTTATCCTGCTTGCATCTGGGGAGTTTCTCCTCCGGTTCTTTTCCTCTGCCCCACCCTACTCTCCCTGCCCTAGCCGGTCTCGCCAAGAGGAGGGGGAGGCTGAGCGTGAAGAAAGGGGCGGCTGGAGATCAGGGAGAAGTATTGGGGGTTGACCGGGAAGCGGGAGGGAAGGAATGTGGAGATTGGAGCAGGATGGTTCTGAGGGCTAGGGTGGGGGAGATCGGGGAAGGGTTGGGAAATGGATTGTGTTTGACCAGAGACAGTTAAATCACTTATCAAAAAAAAAAAAATCTTCCTGGGGACCAAGGAACTATGTACAAAAACAACCAACCACCAAAATAATAACAGTTACTAGACAAATAAAGACAAAAACAGCAAAACAAAAGCAATGAAACAATGCTTTAGATATATTCAGCTCCCAGGAGCAGTAATCTGCAGCTTCATTTTCCCCCAAGGAAGAGAAAAAATGAGCACCATATTCTTACCACCGCCCCAACTCTACACACACGAACTGAGTCAAAAAACACCAAAACCAGAAGAACTGGAAGGTGAAGTTCTGGGTAGCGAACAAGCTAGCCGGTCTGCCTGTTTAATTTTCCCCTCTAAATCTCATCATCCTCTTTGATTTATTTCCTCTGTTATAGAGACTCAATGGCAGCGGAAGTGAGTAGGCCACAGCTTCGAGGAGCCTGGGGTTATAGGCTTGGTTGCCTATTAGATAGAATTCAAGGTTTCCAGCTGCCCAGTGGCTAACTATCCTATGGTCTGGGCTGGGGGGTCAGGTCAGGTGAGGGACTTTAGGAAAGGAGAGTTAACCACAATCTAAGACGCAGAACTTTGAGGGTCCCTGCAGCAACTATTCTAGAACAAGAAAATTAGAGTAAGATCTTACTTTTTTTCATTTTTGCTTATGTCTAAGATCTACAGAACAGACTTTGAAAATAATCCATCTCCCCAACACACATAGGATTTAACCGTGTTTCGTCCATTCAGAGTCTGATCTATTTCAACCTGTACATTCCCCCCTCCCTCCCTCCATTCATTCAAATACACTGATAGGGTGGAACCTTAATTAGGAGAGATTCTTCCTCCCGTTTTTTCACTTTTCTCCAGTGGATAAGACTCATTTTGCTCTACTAAGTCCCATTTACTCCTCTTGGAGAACATGAAGTTGTTGAAATGCTGAGAAGTTTCTGCTTTTAGTTGGGGGCCAGAGATAGCTGTGAGAAGATCACCTAAATTCCCAGAAGAGAGGGAGACAGATTTAAAGCCCCCTCCCCCCTTATTTATTTCAAAGAGGTCTGCATGTTCCCCGGGGGAAAGCAGAACAACTGTTTTCTTTTGTTGGTATTATTCAAGAGTCATTTATTACTGGGATAAATATTGGGTAGCAAAAACTTTAATTTGCACTATCAGTTTCCCAAATAGAAACTCATGTGTAGCATTTCATACTCATTATCAAGGTATTTAACAAGCTGCTGATGGGTTTTTTCTTTCTTTTCTTTTCTTACAATGAGAAAGAGATTTGAAGGTGGTTAGTAAAATGCCTGCTTTGTGAACAAGAAACTCTTTGGTTACTCTGAGGGTTGTTTGTTACCATCCTTTATGTCTTTAAAAATAAAAACAGCAAATGAGAGGGAAGAAAAACTTTACTGTTAAACAAGACAGAAACCATGCATGATCTGAAAGGTGCAGAAAGAAACACAATTAGGTCTCACTCTGGTTAGGCATTATTTATTTAATTATGTTGTATATTATTGTTTGCAGCGCAAACATTCTATGCATTTGAAACTGAGCACTAAACTGGGCTAGCTTTCTGGTAGACCGTTTTGTGGATAGTGTGATTTCACAGTCTACTTACTGCCTGTTTTCACGGAAAACACGACACTTGTCATATTCTTGTATTTAGAGGAAAAGGAAGAAAGGAAGATTATTGTAAATATTTTATTTCATGCACACATTCACACAGTGGTTACAAACTGCCAGCGTTAATCCTGAAATGCCTCACGGATTGATCTACCTGTCCATGTATGTCTGCTAAGCTTTCTCCTTGGTTATGTCATTGCTCTATTACCTTTTCCCTCCCCCACTTCTATCAGAACCATTCTGTGCGTCAACATCCACCAGGGGGATGTGTCCCGTACACTTACAAATAAAACAAAACTGAAAGAAGAGCAGTTTTATGATTTGGGTGCATTTTTGTGTATATATTGGGCCAAATCTTGGTAGAGGCGTTCAACAAATGAAACGATTCTATAACAATAACAACAAAAACCAAATAAACAAAAAGGGGTATGTGTGGGATGGGTGGTAGGTTATCAAGGGGAGATCAAAGGAAGGGAAAATATGATCATGGTTTTTGTGTTTTATTTTTGTTCTCTCCCTTTCTTCTCTCCCTCTCTCCATGCCTTTTCCCTCCCTCTTTCCTTCCTTTCTTACCCTTCCCTTCCTCCCTCCCTTCCTTCCTTCATTCCTTCCTTCCTTCCTCAGTTTTCTTTTTGCTGAATAAGAATTCACTTTCAGATAACTAATGTGAAAAGGTGCTCTAAATAAAATGAATTCTATATTAGTTGCCTGTGTTTATCAAAGTTTGTTTTCTTTTATAAATGCAGAAAATCTTAAGCCACAGCACGCCATTCAGATTGGTGAAGGGTAATAAATAAGCAGGCACCTGAAAAGCATTTACGTCGAAGGTATTTAGGGGTTTTATATGTAATGTTCTTCCCAAAAAATATTATAAATTTAAAATCTATCCACTTCAGGTATCTTATCAAATGCTTCTGTTCATTTAGAACATTTAGCGTGCCACTCACTCTCCAGAGTGACCAGAAATTCTCAATTTCTTGGTGACCTGGGAGTAGTTCAGATGCCAAATGTACAAAGTTTCTTAATAGCTGCGATTATACCTGCTGAAGTCATCTTGTTTTAGCTAAATCTTTAATTTCACCCGCAAATCTGTGAAACCATTTGATGTTCAAAAAAGAATAGTACATTTAAAAGCTGTGAAAAAGTTGTTTAATTTTTTTATAAAAGCACTAGAGGTATTTTAAAAAATAGGCCCCCATCAAACTTGGTTTGCTTCTGTTATTGATTTGAAATATCAGTTTTAATAAAATGTATTTCTAAAAGAATACACGTTATTTATCGAAACTATGACCAGATATCATTGTCAGAGAATCAAGACTGACTGAACAAATGGAAAGTTACAAAAGTCCTTAAAAAAAAAACAACTCAAGCAGAAATGTTGCAGGCAAATACATTTGTATTATAATGGCTAATGTATGTATTAAGAATTTAAGTATTTGTTTTGTATGAAGTAAAATCCTTGCCCAGTAAAAAGGAGACTATTACATTAATAAAACATCATGAAAACACATGCTCTGCAGATTTTCCTATGTGGCAGGAAGGTCTGCAAAACAAAACATGTTCTGCCTTCTGGTTAGTGAATCTACATAGGCTGCAAGCAATCATAAGACTATTTTAAGGCTCCTTAAATGTCAACCCATGAAGAAAAAATTTTTTTTTAATGTTCTCTTGAAGAGATTGCAAAGGCTTGTCATTCTGTGGTAGGTTAAGCCTTTCAAAGTGCTTTGGTTCTGGACAGCGGCACTTCAAGCTGAGACTCTGCACCTGTCAAGGGGTAGAAATGTGTTCTTTCAAAGAATATTCTCAAACCAAGTTTAATGGGAGAGCTGGGCTCCGTTTGCCTTCAGCTTCTCAGGAAATCCGGGAGGCTGAGTAGGAAAAGGGGAAAAAAACACATTAAATGCATCTGCCACATTAATGCCATCCATTTGTCTTAGATTGTCTTTTATCCCACTTCTGGCGCAGGGGTCCTGCTCCTGTGTTACGCACTGAGAAACGGTATCCCTCAACATCCATCAACTAAATTCTGAATAGATTTTTGTTCCATGTGTGTTCTTAAATTGCTCTCAACTACGATTATTCTCTCATAAATAAACTGTAGGCACCTACTGCCGTGACTGTATCGATGTTTATTTTCTTGTGATACTAAGATTTCTTGGGGCCAGCTCCTACACGTGGCCGGGCAAGAGAAGACAGGGTGTCATTATAATGGAGAGGCCTCCTTAGTTCCAGCCGTAGGCTACCTTACCGTTCTGCCCAAGTCTACCCCAAACCTCGCCCTCCAGAAACCCATATGCTCTACCATCTCTCAGGTTGAAGTGTCCTAGTTTTATCGAGAAGTTGACATTGGAGCATCTGACTGGGTGAACACCAATGGTCTAGGTGGCCAGAGGGACCAGGAGCTGACGGCCGCCGTGATTATTGATACTGCTACCGTCGGTGTTGTTGCCATTACCGTCTCAGCCGGGTGATGGGAGCCACAAACTCCTAACGAGCTGTTCCAAAGGATTCCGCAAGCTTACTTGATTTTTTTTTAAACAACCGAAATCTAGTGGCGCTGTGGCTCAAGTGGTAGAGTGCTTGCCTTGAGCTGAAGAGCGCAGGGACAGCGTCCAGGCCCCACTACCGACCAAACAACAACAACAACACAAAACAAAACAAAAACCCAACCACAATCTAATTCTCCCGGGGGGTGACTTTTCCATCTGCGAGATAAGCCTTGTCGCCATAATGTACGTGATTTAATATTTGATCAAACCGTGGCTCTTGTGCGGGACAGGGTGCCAGGCCCCCGTCCCAGGTCCGCGTCCCGCCGGGGCACGTGCGGCAGGGACGCGCGGCCGCCCCACCAGGGCTTGGCTTGCCTTTTTTTTTTTTAAATTTTAAATAATTCATGGCCTGAGAGTTCTGGAAATTAATAAAGTCAATGATAACAAGAAACTAATTAAAAACTTTCGTAATTGTTGTCAAGTCAGCTTGACGGGGAGACAGCCCTCGCGGA